ATTTTTCTGTCGGATCCTCGTCTGTCACACTCCATGAAATATTCTTCCTCTCTCTCCCTTCCCCCAAATTGAGACCTAACTTCTTAAACATGATCTATGCTTAAGTTATTGTTTTTCTGCCTGGAAAAATATTTTTATCCATTTATTTGTATGTTAATGTGCGCTCTGAAAAATTAGAACTGATATATTGGTTCTAATGAAATAAAATTATCAGCATCATCTTTTAAAGTCATCGTTTTCATAGTAATTATTATTTACTCTGTTTTTAAATTGAGCTTTCACTGTATTTACATTCTCTTTGGAATCATCCATACGGATTACCAAATAATTTAATTATATATACATACATATATATATATATATATATATATATATATATATATATATATACTGCCCCATTTCTATAGGTTCATTAAAGATGACAGAGAAGGTACTGTGGTTAATCATTTCATTTAATTTCTCTTGTGTTCCTGTAAGCTTTTTTTTATTTATTTTCAGAATATAAATTAGGTTAAATCTTATGTCTGAACGTTCTTTGCTTGGGAACAGTTTCGGCTATTCTTTTAGCCATTTTCAAGGCTTTTTTTTATGCACACGGCCATTTCGTTAACAGTCTTCATCAAAAGAGAAAAAAGAGCAGTGATCCGAATTTGCAGAGAAAATGCGACCTCATCGATGATAATTCGCTGGTTCGCCATTAGCATCGATCTAGCTTGTTGAATAATCTCGTCATTAGAATGAAGAATGTCATGCTCATTTTTCGTGTATCACGCTTCTCCGGTCACTTTTAAACTTCTGGATCCACACAAACGGGGTAGTGCACTGTCGCCATATTGTGTTAAAAGCCTCCGAACAATTTCAACACCTGACACATCTTCCGACCAGATAAATCGGATCACTGCTCTGTTTCTCCTTGATGTACACTGCTAGCGGAGCGGACATGTTTACTCTCTAACAGCAGTACGGGAAGCTCGAACTTCGATCACATGACCACTATAATATCAACTATAAGCACACATGAACATAAGGTATTGTGAAAAACTAGTGATAGTTTATGCCAAAAGTGTCGATAACTTTTGGCTTACCTTCGTACTTTAAAGAAAGTATTATGAAGGAAGCTCCTAGTCAATTCGGGAAAGAGGTATAGCAGTGGAATAGAGAGAAGTATTTCTCTGTAAAAGCTTTAATAAATGTATTTTATAAATTTCATCCTATGGTAGCAAAACCTGCTTGAACAATAAATGCTGGATGCTAATATTAAACAGCTAATATCGATATGTATTAGAGATGAGGTGAACAGTTTCTTCATTTTGCTTTCAAGATGATGAATAGGAAGTGAAAAGCGTAAGTCGAGTACCACCGGCTGTTCGGTCAATGAAAGTCGAATGTTTCTTATGTGGTAAAGGCTATTATCATAATTACTGATAAATTATAATAAGTATTTATTTAGCTTGTGTATTTTCTCTTTTATAGAAGGCCGTAGAACTCTTCCCCGGTTTCTTGTTATCCAATCAACTTAGTTCTGTGAAACGTCATTTTATGTCTCCTTAATTTTAGTCTTTGATTTGCTTCCAACCTAAAACCTTTTTCTCGGATTTTTCACACTCAGTAGTTCAGAAATGGCTTTATCTCCTTGTAATAAACAAAACAATTGTTCACTAAGAAAGAACAATGCGCAGTAAATGGTTCTAAATAGTTCATGCTGGATGCCCATGTAACTTATTCTGCGTACATTCGCACTGCATTTACCGGAAAACGTCGTTTTCAATGGGTAAACTTTGTAGAATTAAGAAATGTCTTTCGTCCAAATAATTTCCACGGGAATAGCGACAGATCAGCGAGAGTCTGTGAAAGATGGTGCAAGCTAGGACATGATTCATTACCCAAAAGGCCGGATAGAACCATTTGGACTCTATAAAATCAGTGCAGCGCCAGCCATGCTATTGCAACAGTATTCAATTTTTGGTGCAATGTGGCACTTGTAATGATAGATCTTCGCAGGAAGATCCAGGGTTGTTACAGGATCAGTACAAGGAACAGATTATTTTTTAGGCATCTTTAGCGATGGATCGTTTATATGAGTTCCACTTGAGGTCTGGCATGTACTTCACTCCCCCAAAAAGCGTTCAAGGTGAATGTTATACTTGAGAGAAACCCGTTCATTGCGATGGCCAATATGCAGGATTTGCTCGATGAAGAAGGGACGTAAATATTTTCGATTTTGAGGTCTTGAATTTGATCCGCCAAACACCACTTATTGAGCTGTTTAGAAGAGAGATTACCTCCCTTTTCTTTTGTCATCTAGAATATTGGAGCATCATCCATCTAACGTTGTATAATCTTAATAAACATTCACAGAATATTGGAGTAAGAATGGTTAACTGATTTAACTCGGATAACCTTCATTTTTATTCTACGAGCACTCACCTTAAAAAAAGCCTCGAGTGACACTCGAGGTAGGGTTTTTTGATATGTATAGGAAAGATAACGGTAAAGCCTAAATTAAACAGGCAAAGGTTTTAGTGGGCGGGAATGCAACCTCTTGGGACTCGGTTCCACAACTAACCGTTCGTGTTAGTAAGCTATTCTAGTAGAACGTAATTCTCATAGATGGAATACAAAAGAAATGAACGTGGTAGACCTCAGTGTATACAGTGCCGCGGGTCTTAACTGTAAGGGTTAGAATTGTTGGGACTAAGGAATGTATCACATCCGAAAAATTCCACGTCAAACCTCAACGAAATACTAGCAAGGTTTCGTTTGCATAAAAGAGGGTGGAAGGTAGGATATAATTCATCAACCACAAGGCCGCGTAGAAGTTTTTGGACTCTATGAAGACAGAGCATCGCCAGCTATAATAAAGCAGTAGTATTCAATTTTTGGTGTGTTGTGACACTTATAAAGTTAGATGGAAACAAGGTAGTTACAGGATCAGTACAGTGAACAGATTATTTTTGAGGCCTCTTTAGCGATGGATCGTATATATGAGCTCCGCTTGAGGCATGATGTGTACTTCATTCCCCACCCCAAAAGCATTCAATGCAAATGTCATACTTGAGTAAATCCCGTTCATTACGAAGTCGAATATTCAGAGTTTGCTATCTGATGAAAGGAAGTGAATAGTTTGTTTTTTGCGGCCCTCAAATTGACAAGCCAGACACCATTGCTTGAGTTGTTTGACGAGGGATCAGCTCCCCGGCTTTGGGTGGCTCATCTATATAGTTTTGTATAATCTTAATAAATATTAACAAAATATAAGAGTAAAAATGGTTACCTAATATTGAGACATATTGAGACATATTGGTTACTTTGCACATGAATTGGGTCGGTGTATTTTTTTCCTTGAACAAAGAATCAAAATAGACATCCAGACATCCGAACCACCAATAATAACAAAATAAAATAAGTGTAATCCGCTTCATTTTACTCTACTTGCACTCGCTCTATACAAGGCCCAAGTACCACTTGAGGTAGGGTGTTACTGAAAGAGTTTATTGTGTGTAGGAAAGACAACGGTAAAGTCTAAATTAAACATGTTAAGGATTTAGTGGACGGTAAAGCAAAGTAGCCGTTCGTGAGAATAAGCTATTTTAGTGGAACTTAATTCTCATAGGTGGAATACAAAAGAAACGAGGGTGGTAGGCCTCAGTGTATAGTGTCGCAAGTCTTAGCTGTAAGGGTTAAAATTGTTTGGACTAAGGAATGTATCACCTCCGAAAAATTCCACGTCAAATCTGAACGAAATACTAGTAAGGTTTCGTTTGTATGAAAACGGGTGGAAGTTAGGAAATAATTCATCACCTACAAGGCTGCGTAGGAGTTTTTGGACTCTATCAAGACAGAGCAGCGCCAGCCATAACATGGCATCAGTACTCAATTTTTGGTGTGGTGTGGTAATTGCAAAGGTAGATCCTAACAGGAGGAAGCAAGGTAGTTACATAATCAGCAAAGTGAACAGATTATTTTTGAGGCCTCTTTAGCGATGGATCGTATATATGAGTTCCACCTGAGGTCTGGGGTGTACGTCACTCCCCCCAAAATGCGTCCAAGGCAAATGTCCTACATGAGAGAATCCAGTTCATTACGGAGCCGAATATTCAAGGTTTGCTCGATGATGAAGTGACGTTAATAGTTTGGATTGCGAAATTGATCAGCCCCACCCCACCCATGCAGTTGTTAGAAGAGAGATTAGATATCAGGCTCTTACGGGTCTTATCAAACTTTTCTTTGCAAGTATTTATAAAGTATAAACAATAGGAGTGACTATTGTAAACTCTTTACTGATATTTTAGTTATGTACGAACGAGATACCCCGGACGGCTATACATAATTTGTCTGCGTGTTTGAACATGTAAATGTTTGGAAGATAATAACAATCTATATTGATGTTACGAGGGGCGTGTTGAAATGATACGTTCACTACAGTATACAAGAATCAGTATTTCTTTTTTAACATATCATAATATGTAGAAGTTTATTAATACACAACATTCCAATTTTGTTCTGAAGGTTTTGACATTGCATATCAGGAATTTTATTGTAAACGCCTTGCCAAAAATCGATTCGATAGCTACGGAATTTTGTATTTCTCAAGAGCAAGAACCTGCATTTTAAAAAGCGGGATGTACTGTATTTAGAGAAATTTATAATTTTTTCACGAGATAGAAAACGGGAAATGTATGAACCAGAAGATGTGGTCAAATACAGAATTAAAGGATGGAAAATCTGGAAGGGACAAAGAAAGAAAAACAAATAGACATTAAGTATTAAAAGAATGAAAGAATGAAATGAATAAATTAACGACGAAAGAAACAAAGAAAGAAAAGTTTGTTTAAGTTTAACGAAATTAATTGAAAAATATCAAGAGAGAATTGAAAGAAAAATGAACGTGAAAAACATAGAAATTGAAAATAAAAAAAACCCAATTAAATTGAAAGTAAAATGAGAAATAGAATAAATAAAAAAATGACAAGAAAAAGAAACAGTGAAATGAGAGTAAATTAAGAAACAGAAAGAAAATATAAAATGAAAAAAGAAACAATGAAATGGATGCAAAATAAGAAATAGAAAGGAAATAAAAGATGAAAAGAAAAAGAAAAATGAATGAAAGAAAAAATAAGAAATGGAAAGAAATAAAAGATGAAAAGAAGAAGAAACAAGGAAATGAGAGCAAAATTAAATTGGAAAGGAAATAAAAAGAAAAGAAAAAGAAACAATGAAATCCGAGCAAAATAAGAAATAGACAGGAAATAAAAAAAGCAAAAGAAACAATGAAATGAGAGCAAAATGTGAAACAGAAATGAAATAAACGATGAAAGTAAAAGAAACAATGAAATGAGATTAAAATAAGAAAGGAACTAAAAGATGAAATGAAAACGAAACAATGAAATGAGAATAAATAAGAAAGAGTAATGAAATGAATAGTGAAAGAAAAAGAAACAATGAAATGAGAGCAAAATAAAAACAGAAAGGAAATAGAAAACGAAAAGAAAAAGGAATCAATGAAATGAGAGCAAAATAAAAACAGAAAGGAAATAGAAAACGAAAAGAAAAAGGAATCAATGAAATGAGAGCAAAATAAAAACAGAAAGGAAATAGAAAACGAAAAGAAAAAGGAATCAATGAAATGAGAGCAAAATAAAAACAGAAAGGAAATAGAAAACGAAAAGAAAAAGAAACAATGAAATGAGAGCAAAATAAAAACAGAAAGGAAATAGAAAACGAAAAGAAAAAGGAATCAATGAAATGAGAGCAAAATAAAAACAGAAAGGAAATAGAAAACGAAAAGAAAAAGAAACAATGAAATGAGAGCAAAATAAGAAATAGAAATTAAATAATAAAGGAAAGGAAAAAGAAACATGTAATAAGAGCAAGATGAGAAATAAAGAGGAAACAGAAAATGAGAAGAAAAAGAAACACTGCAATGAGAAGAAAATGAGAATTAGAAATAAAATAAACAATGAAAAGTAAAAGAAGCGATGAAATAAGATTAAAATAAAAACTAGAAAGAAAGTACAAATGAAAAGAAAAACAATGAAATGAGCACAAAATAAGAAAAAGAAAAGACATAAAAACGGAAAAGGAAAAGAAACAATGAAATAATCGCAAAATGAGAAACAGAAATGAAATAAAAGATGAAAGTAAAAGAAACAATGAAATGAGAGCAAAATAAGAAATAGAAAGGAAAATAGATAAAAAACGAGTCACATTTTGTAATTCTTAAAATAAATAAAATAAAGTAACGTAAATTTGAAAAATGTAGAAAAAGTTTTAAGATCGAACGGCAAAACCTCTGTTGAAAAAAAGTCGATGCGAGATAGCACTAGTGAAATGAGAAGAAACAATTAAAAATGCAAGACAAAGCCACAAAAAAAACGAAAACTAATAAACGGTAAGTATCAAAATAAAGAAAGAAAGAAAAAGAAAGGACTGATGAATAAAGAAAGAAAAAAGAAAAGTTTGTGTGGGATTAACGAAATCAGAAATTCGAAAGACATTAAAAGAGAAACGAAAGTGAAAGGAAATAGAATATGAAAAGAAAATCTGAAAGTTGAAAAGAAAGCGAAACATGAAAAATATAAAAAGAAGTAGAAAAAGACTGAAAAATAACGAAAGACATATTTTGTAATTTTGAAGAAAGACAATAAAGAAACGTGAATGTGAAAAAAAAATCTAGTAAATTTTTAAGATCATACAGAAAACCTCTGCAAAAAATAGTTGACGCGTGATAGAACTAAGGAAAGAAGAAGAAGAAGCACAGAACTAATTAGAAAAAAGAAATAAAAAAAATAAAATAAATGAATAACTCCACAGTAATTTTCTCGTTCGATTTTTGCAACCATAACCAATGATTGATGATAAAGAATAGAAAAAGAAAGACCAGCTGCTGCCATATTCGCCACGACCAGCGACCAATAGCTGGAGCAATGGCTGAAAGTCCTGCAATGAAATCTACAAGCGTATCATTTTGGGAATTGTCGCAGACCATTAGATGATTGCGATAATTGCCGCTTGCTACTCAGCTGGAACTCAATTTACTCTCTCATGCGAAATGTTTTCCGTAATGCTGTGACTTTTCCTCATATGTAACTGCTTCATTTGCTGCAGATTTGATAGAAAGCTTTTTCATTATACATTTTGCGTTTTTTGTTTGTCACTATTAAAACACTTGATGCATCAGATCATAATTGTACTCCGATCAATTCAGTGAAGTTACTGCCTCTGCGGAATGCTTAAAGATGCAAATTTTAACAATATCATCTACTAAAATATCGATGGTATAGAAAATTATATACTAAGCTATGACTTATTTGTCTTCAGTAGTTTTCAAATAAAGTTACTTCATTATTTCATAGGGTTTCAGATTATTTAACGTTATTGCCTTTAATATGTTTTTCTTTTTGTAAAACATTTCTGTCAATAATTTTTATCTGTTACAATGTGTTATCGTTATTTATCTTTTTAAACTCTTGTCCTCGTTATAGTTTATTTACACTATTAGCATTACTATTTATATTTTTCGGACTATTTCCCTCATCTTTGTTGCTATATTCACGACGTTTCGACTGTTGTACACTCCGGCCTTCTTTAGACAATTGGAATTTCGAATTGAACCTTTTATTTCCTTTATGATTGTTTACCATATTGTATTCATGTTTATGTCTCCTAAAAGCAAAGCAAGTATAGACATGAAAACAATACTGGAACCAGTAATACGGGGTGCAAGTGAAAAAAACAGTAATAACATCAACTTGTAATATGAGCTCTGGTAAAAATAAAAACTGGTTACTGAGATATTAGACTTAAAAGAGTCGTCAAGGAGACATGGCTCAGTGCATAAAAGCATTGGTTGAATCCAGTGGCTTACCCCAAAGAGTTGTGTGTGCAATAGCTGGCTGCAGTGGTGAACAGAAACGTATTAAGAGTTACAAGGGAAATAACTGATACTAAAATATCCGGAAGTGGCAGGGAATGTCGGGAATATGGCAACAAACATGAGAGCATCAGGCAGAACAATGTAAATATTATATATTTATATATCTGAAATTCAGTATTATAATTATTCACATTATGTACACTGTTTGGACTGCTGTCCTTATGTTTATTGTCGTATTTACGACGCTTCGAACGTTGTAATGCTCCGATCTTCCTCAGGTGATATATGTTGGAATTTCGAATTGAACCCATTATTTAGTTTTAGATTTCCGAGTAACTTCACTGATTTGATCGGAGTACAGTTATGATCTGATGCATCAAGTTTTTTTCATAGAGCGACTAACAAAAAACGCAAAATGTATATTGAAAAAGTTTTCTATCAAATCTGCAGTAAATTAAGCAGTTACGAAAACAGATTTTTATAGTTCCATATCTTTTTTGGATGTCTCAGTTAATTCTACTTTGTAGATCAACTCTTAATGTTTTTGTTAACTTCTGCTATGGGCAGGTATTGAACTCACAACTCATTGATTCAAGGGACTTTTAGATTACTTCAAATTACTCTTTTATCCATTGGTCCATGTGTAAATCGTTGGACACTTCAGCGTGTTGTAATTGTTAGCAAGATCAATTATGACTGTGTCGTGAGTTCTATCCGCACTGGTTGCTCCATACTTTCGGCCTTGTGTCACATTTAAATCATTATTACATAGGCAATAGTGCGCGTATATTTAAACCTAGGTAAGTATATTTAAACTTGGTGGAACTAATCAATGGAATAGGAAGGGAATAAGGTTGGTTCACCATATGATGGGTCTAGGTCATGCGGTTTAGAACTGGTGGAACTAAAGATTGTAGTTCGTCTGAACACTCTCCACGGAAATAGCGATAGTACAGGGAGAGGCTTGCGATGTTCCGTCTGTGGGGAAAAGGGCTTATAGGTTGAAAAATAATTTGTCAGTCACAAGGGTGCGGAGACGCTTTTTGGACTATCTAGAGAGAGATATTAAAGAGTGATTAGCTCCTTCGCATATCTGGCAGCACCTGACACCGCCTACTATCCTCTACCTTTGAACTCTTCAGATCTGTCTAATAAAGTGTCAGATACTTTTTTAAATTATTTCACCGCAAGATGAGCGAGAGTGTCACTAATACGCAGGGTGTTACGGATAGTGAAAGAAAGAGAAAAGAATGTTTATGGGGGGGGATTGAGGAAATGATAAAAGATAAACGGGGTTCAAGACAACAGAAGAAGGCAATTGACCTTGCATTTAAATATTTTGAAGGAGGTTCCACAGGTGGGAAGTGCGAGAAAAGACTGTTCGACTGGTGGTTACATTTAATTACTTCAACAGTGGGACCTAGATGCCAATTTAGTAGTACGCTTAAATTCATGCCGTCGGCTCACCAGGGAAAAAAGTTCGTCAGAGCAGTTGTCATGAAAATATTTGTAGAAAAAACGGCGATGGAAGCAACATCACATCGGTAAGAAAGTGACTGAAGTCGAAATGCCAGGTCAGGATGGATTATTTTGCAGATCCTTACTTAGTGATTTTGTCAAGAACCTCGAAATGAATAGCAGGAGCACCAGATCAGATATGGCAGCTGTATTCAATGCATAGACGAATGGTAGATTTGATAATGATCAAGATGAATGAGAAATAATATCTGGTACGGCACATTGACTCATTTGCAATAGAGGCAGCTATTAATTCAATGTAGTTATTCCACTTCAAATCAGTTAAAAACATGAGTCCAAGAAGGTACAGTGAAGCGTTCTCCAGTAGTCGAGCATTAAACATGCGGATGGCGGACAGGGAAGTTTTTTCTATGGTGATTAAATGAGACTAGCTTAGTTTTGGATGCATTAAAATTAACAAGCTATTTCCTGAACCAGTTAAGCATTGATTAGATTTCCGTTTCAAGAGCAGCAGCCAACTTAACTGATGAGTAAAAGTAATATCATCAGCATAAATGCCTAATTTAGAAATGATGACATCAGGAAGATGTTTAATGAAGAACCAAAACAGCGTAGGACACATGATAGAGCCTTGGATGAAACCCGCGTTTGTGTGAAGTTATTTGGAAGCTAGTTCGTTAAGAACGACCTTTATTTCACGACTTGATAGGAATGGCTGGATTAAATCAAACAATTTTCTTGTAATACCGTAGCTCTTTAGCTTTCGCAGAAGAACAGCATGGCAAACCTTATCAGACGCCTTTGAAACATAGCTCGAGTGTCTTTGTTAATATCACGAGCTTGATATACATATTCAGTGATGGCCGTTTGTATATCAGCAGAAGACCGGGCAAAACGTAAACCGTATTTTTTTGTCAAAGAGTAGGTCTTGAGAGGTAAGATTGCTAACCAATTCAGCATTGAGGAAAGGTTCGAATACTTTGCCGAAAAATCGTAGGGGACGAATAGGGAGATAGTTATATGAGCCAGAAGGTTCCCTAGACTACAGAGGATGACTTCCAACAATTTGTAAAGCAGGAAGTAGCGAGGGAATAGTTGTAGTTTGGACAGAACTGGTGCCAGGTCAGGATCACATTTCTATAGGATAACAGTTGGTATCCCGACACACCCATTTGCCTTATGGGAATCTACTTTAGAAATGTTATCCAAGACCAGTAACGGGGTTATGCGTATATGACTGTGTACAGCCTCAATTCTAGGGAAATGTCTGGTATAAACACAGCGGATGAATCGTCTGTTGAGGTGGAAGAGAAATCTATAAACTGATTTCTTTCAAAGAATACATATTCTATTCATACGAAGCTATTCTAAAAAAATCTTGTCAACCAATTGAGGTGTTGATAGGCTCTAAAACAAAATAAACCCAATTAAACCATTACACTTCTTCATAATTTTTATCTTTTTCTTATGCCTCGCAAGATTTGTTCTCACATAAATTTACACAAATTGTGAGGTCGGTTAATCTTGTGTATGTCAGATTCTCCAATCCCTCTTTCCTCATGAGCTATAAAACTGACCTATAAATTCCTACTATTTATTTCTTTTTCCAAGCAAAAGCGTTCTTTTTATATTCATTTTCCTTAAAACGACCAAGTTACTCATATATTCAATCCATTATATTCTCAACATCCTTCTGTAGAACAGCATTGTGTTGCCTCAGTGTCTTTTTCATCACTGAGAATATCGTCAAGTATTTACTATCGTGCAGAAGGATCGATAAGTATTGCATAGCAGTTTTCTTTTTTTCATGCTAGTTTTCCTGTTTCTTTATACATTACTAAGCTTTTTAAGGCATCTTTTTCTATAACAATAAAATTATAATAGTTAAAATGGCATTGAATTCGAGACATTTCAGATTACCCTAGATTATATGTGTTGAGCACAAAAGTGTATTTTGTTTTACTGCTATGTAAATCCTTTGTTTCTTCAGGATTTGGTGCCCGATTCATTCTTAAATCTTTTACTTATTCATTCCCATTGGCTTCTTGCGGTTTGGTGGCATTATGACCTTATTTAGAATGTTTTTTTTTTACGCTGTAGGTATTTACCTTGAGGGGCTTTTGTGCCTTATACAGGGTGGGGGTCACTGGTAAAAATAAAAATGATACAGCATTCTATAATTAGAATAATAATAATTATCTCACACTGAAGACATTCCTATTTACAATGACACCACGTGATTTTTTGAATTCTCTAAGTACATTTGACTGTTATCTTAGTATAATTTAATTCTGTCTTATTCCTTCAGGACCTAGACAATCTCGGCTCTACGCAACCCTCTTCACGTCATTATCTGGGAATAGCTTTTATTTCTCGGAAACCTTAGAACGAGAGTTTAGTTCTCAATATTTCTGTAGTGTTTTGAATTCAAACTTGTTCTTCTAGAGTGTTTTCTATACATGGATAGAAAGAACAGTTCAACTCTACTAATTAATCCACAGTTTAGGGGTTGAAGTACAGATAGGATCAGTTAAAAAGAATCCTCTAATATCAAATATACAATCGCTAATATTCAATATACAGTATCTAATATTCAATATACAATATCTAATATTCAATATACAATCGCTAATATTCAATATACAATATCTAATATCCAATATACAATCGCTAATATTCAATATACAGTATCTAATATTCAATATACAATGTCAAATATTCAATATACAGTACCTAATATTCAAAATACATTATCTAATATTCAATATACAGTATCTAATATTCAATATACCGTATATCTGTAAAAATCTCGCTTTTTTAGATGTTACAGCCATATAAATCTGGATTTTAGTATTATAAAAACTAGAAAAATAATAAAGTGACCTAAACCCAGAAAGCAAATTCGGAAATCTCTGTTTTTCTCTGGAATAATATCCGTGTTGAATAAAACGGAGAACTTGTCAAACGATATCAGGATATTTGAGTGGAACTCCCATGAGTAAATATAGCTAACGAGTTACAAGGATCATTCGTCAAATAAACACAGAAAGTTAATGAATCGTCAGGGGAAAATCTTGTGGTAAACTACACAAGTGTCATTCTACATCATTAAACGAACGTTTCATTTCAATGATGCACTCCATAGAGACAATATTAATCAGTTACGCAAAGTCAAGAATAATATTTGCATAATTATTGCAAGTACTTCTAGTGTTGCTTGTAAAGCATATTGAAAATGCAAACTAGTCGTTCATTCTGGGGTCTCAACAGGACAAATGTACCTGTTAATACATGAATCACAGAAAATAAATATATATACTCAGTGATAGTGAAAGAGACACATAAAACACACAGGCATATATATATATATATATATAATTATTATTTTTTTAAATATGATTCCTTCGCTACATATGTAGAGAAGGAATCATATTTTAAAAAAATAATTATAATTTAGGCTCTACTTTTGTATTGAGCATTGTTTGTTTAAAAAATAAAAACGAAAATACTAAAGAACTTCGGATTATTTACCTAACGTGTTCTTTCCTATTTTTCTATATTTTTTATATATATATATATATATATATATATATATATATATAAATATTTTTATATGGCAAATGTAAATATAAAATGGTCTGGAGTTTGCGTTCAAGAATGAAAGAAACTATCACCGCTGTGAATTGAACTCAGTTTGATTGATTCGTTTTCTACGGCATGTCAAACGACTGCAGAAAGAACATTATATATTAATGGTATAATGATACAATTCTTACTAATTAACCGATAGCTGGGGGAGAATATGTGGATTCATACCTTTCCTAAGTTTATTTGCGCGTAAGCGAATATAACTGATTAAGAGTTTCCGGCAATTCTTTATCATACCACCCGCACTACCAAGCTTACAGCACTTGGTATTCCCAAGAAGTCACCCATTTAGGTACTGATCAGGTTCGATGTCTCTTAACTTCGGTGAAATTATGGAAACTGGTGTTTCAACGTGATTTGTCCGGAAAACTTTGAACTCAGTATCCAATTAGACACACACACACACACACACACACACACACACACACACACACAAGCACAAACACACATATACACATGTCCTGCTGATTGTATTAACCACGGAACAGATTGTCGGCTATAATTTACCTTTATTTGTTTTAATATATAAAATTATACATAAATGTCCACTTTTATATTTACATACGCTCTATGCCTGATACAGAGCATTTTAACTCATAAATATAGCATGCCTTAAAACTATATTTTCATCATATATACATGTGTGTGTGTGTATGAATACACACACACACATACATGCACATATATTGAAATATACGCACACGCGTACACAAACATACTCAGAAAAATATACCTGCATTCATCCCCTCACACACAAATAGATAAAAGTCAAACTCACACTAATAACTAACGTGGAAATTAATAAATAAAATAAAATGAGAAATCTACAGTCAATTAAACAAACATACTGACGAGTGGACGGAACAATTGCAAAAACTGTTCGTCTGCGAAACTCCAAATTCGAGGTCCTGAATATAACATCAACAGCTAAATGACAAATTCATATTTATTTTTTACTTCCCTTTATATTATGATCGCGGGTAATATCGAATATATATATATATATATATATATATATATATGTGTGTGTGTGTGTGTGTGAGAGAGAGATAGAGAGTTTCTGTGTATGTTTTCTGTTCATGTGTTTCATGCCTAAACACAATCGGTAGGCCATTGCATTTAACCATGAAACAGTTATCGTTGGGTGTTGACCTTAATGCCCACTTTTATATTTACATACGCTCTTTCCCTTGTATCGAGCACTTTAACTAATATATATAGCATAAATTAAAATATATTTTATATATATATATATATATATATATATATATATATATATATATATATATATATAAACGCACAGACACAAACACACACACATTTTGGCAGCACTTTCTGTTTTATACAGCTTTCAGGGATTTGAATGTTACAATCTCTTACTTAGCTAAAATAACAGGCTCAACCTTATGGGCTCTGTGCCAAAGCGAATTTGATCCCCAGTCACATGCACTTCAAATCTCAGAAAAAGCCTGGCTCCTTTCACACAAACCAAACATGCCCTGTTAACTCCTCTTTGACTACCTACCGTTCTCTAATTTAAAAGCTATGTTTTAATTCCATTTTGATCGTTCATTCTATTTGGACCATCTGATTGGCACTATTCTCATTTTTGAAACCATATGGTATTGTTTATCGTGATATTTATTCTAGTAAGCTGTTTCTTCCTCATTTGAAGCAAGAATTTGGATTGTGCTATTTTTTAATACTATATCTTCCTTTTTCTTTCTTCCGTGGAGAAATCCCAAGATAATCGTATCTCAGAAGCAATCGGAACTATTTTCAGACATTCCCTCTATAATCTTTGAAACGTTTATCAGAAGACTCGCCATTTTTTCCGTTATTAGCTTCTTTTCTACTTCTAAAACTAATAACTAATCATTCGTCTTTAAAAGATAACCGCCAATATTCCTTCTTCTTCTTCTTCTTCTTCTTCTTCTTCTTCTTCTTCTTCGTCGTCGTCGTCGTCGTTTATTTCTTTATCGTCGTCTATTTTTTCTTCATCTTTATCATAATCTACATTTTCTTCTCCGTCGTTGTTGTTTTCTTTTTCTACATCTTGTTCTTCATCATCATCATTATAATCATTATAATCTTCTTCTTCTTCTTCTTCTTCTTCTTCTTCTTCTTCTTCTTCTTCTTCTTCTTCTTCATTGTCGTCCATGACTTCGTTCCCCTCGTCGTCCTTTTTCTTTTTTTCTTCTATTTCTTTTTCATCGTTGTTGCACCGGCGCTGTTTTCTTCTTCGTTATCCTTCTAATCGTCTTCCTTTTCTTCATCTTCATCAACTTCTTTTCAATTTTCGTCGTTGCTTCTTCTTCTTCTTCTTCTTCTTATTATTATTATTATTATTATTATTATTCACCTTCTTCTTCACCTTCTTCTTCACCACCTTCTTTTTCTTCTTCACCTTCTTCTTCTTCTTCTTCTTATTATTATTATTACTAATACTACTACTACTACTACTACTACTACTATTATTATTATTATTATTATTATTATTATTCAGCTTCTTCTTCTTATTATTATTATTATTATTATTATTATTATTATTATTATTATTTTGTAAGAGGAGAGAATGCCAAAGGAATTCCACTGGTCTCTATATATACGAAGCCTAAAATACTGATCATGACACTTCATATGATCGGGGCGATAGCAGACCCGTGATTCACGGTCAAAAGTCCGTAATATGATGATAGGTTTTGATAAAAGCAGTGTATATTCTTGCAGTGGAGACCAAGTAGTGAAATACCTTCAGACTTGTTAACCTAGACCGCTTAGATTTGCAATCGAGAGTATTTTGAAATATCTATATTTGACTTTTATGACGCCTCGATTTCCCCTTTATTCAAAGTCTTAAAAAATTCCTCTCGATACCCGGCCATTATCCTACACCACTGTTAAGCTTCATGAACAGAGATACACAGTGGGTCAGACTATTTATTTAGGTAGGTGACAAACAACTGCTGGCCGCCATATTTACAGTAACATGTCTGTATTCACCTAAATAAATACAATAACTGGTTTTAATATTTGGTCGTTGTTAATATTATTAGTTGAACCCGTGTAAGTTTTACGAGTATTGACAAATTAACTACTACCTCTAAATCCATCTTTTCTCTCCCTATTTGATTGTATCTTTTCCTTTTCTCCCTTATCCATTCTAAATGTGTTTTCACTATCCTTTTTATCGAAATGCTATAAAGACATAGGTATTTTTCAGATGAAAAAAAAAAAAAAAACGCATGAAGAATGTGCAAATATTTTCTCTTGCATCTCTTATATTTTCTATAATCTTTCCATAATCAATTTTATTGTATTTTAATATTTACATTCATCCATCCATACCTAAATTTTAATTTTTCGCCGCGTGTTGTCTCTTGAAGCCGAGCTAAATAAATCTGCACAATTCTTTGATGTCGCCATCCTTTCCCCCTCTTTTCTCTCTCTCTCTCTCTCTCTCTCTCTATATATATATATATATATATATATATATATATATATATATATATATATATATATATATATGTATATTACTTTCACCTGGTCTTTATTTTTGTTTAAATTTCTTACTTCCGAACATTCCTCCTTCACGTCCACTTTTCGGATATCTACTCCTTCGATTTTTCTGAGTTCTTCACGTTTAACAGTAGTCTCTTGGTTTCTTGATTACAAATCGTAACCCAGAAATTCCTGAGATCAGACAAATACTAAGTCCTGATTTCCGAAGCCTACTCGTACCTGTTGTAAGCAGAATTATTCTTACGTTATTTACATTCAAAATAATATCCTCATATTTTGCTGTTATTGTCATAAAATGTTATTGCTATTTGCATAAGATTATTGTTATTATGATCATAAATGTTTTGTTGCTAATATCAAAATATATGTTGCTATTATCATAATATTGCTATCTCAATTTTTCGCTATTATTATGACATTTGTATTATCATAAGTTAACATTTGTTTTGCTCTTATAAAATTATTCTCGTTATTACGACAATATTTGTGTTGCTACTATCATATAATCTTTTGTATTATAAAAAGTTAATAGTTATGTTGCTGTTATAACACTGTTGCTATGATAAAAAATATGTGTTGCTATTGTAATATTGTGTTTCTATTGTAAATTTTGCTATTATTATAGCATTTATCTTGCTATAATGATATTTGTTGCTATTATCACAATCTTGTTGTATTTGCTATATTTATGTTGCAGTTATCATCGCAATTTGTATTATCATATTTTATTATTTCTGTTGCTATTAATACAATATTGTTCTTGTTTTTATAATATCTGTGTTGCTACTATCGAAATAATTCATTGTATTATAATATTTCAATATTTATTTTGATGTTATAACATTTTGTTGCTATTGTCATAAATTTTGTTGCTGTTGTCACAAATTTTGTTGCTATTATTATGACATATTTCTTGCTATGATCTGCATAATTGTGTTGATAATATCATAACATTTTTGTTGTTATTATCATAACAATAGTGCCCTCCCCTCATTTGGTTGTATCTGTCGGTCCGGTAAACCTTCATGGAATTTCCGACTGCAAACTCGTAGCGCTGTCCATCTTTTAGGGATTTTCTTTTCTTTTATAGAACTGGTCTGTTATTGCTAGTTTTGTTTCCACTCAATCCACCCTGCAATTGAACTCACAACTACTATGTCGTTAAATTAAAAGCTTTAATCCACTAGGCTCTGGCCCCGGGGAAATAAAGGACGAACCGTTGTGACCACAACATAAATGAGGACAGTACTTTGTATTTAAATGTATGATAGGTCATCATTCCAGAAATTCAATCAGAGATTTTTATTTTTAAATGTAGTATTAGCCTAAATGGCTGAATCGCAGTATTATTTGCACAGTTACTTTGGGGTAGCCGTTTTCAAATAGTTATACTCTGTCTAGGTCAACTTGCTGTGTTAGCCTCTATTACAGCTATGTTGTCTTTATATCAGTCTCAGTTATGATGATAAAGTACATCCGGCAGCAAGGCCTCAGACCGGAAGTTTTTGAGGAGTGTTGAACCTCTTAATTGCTGTTGTTCTTATGTCCACCATAACTGAGAATGGAAACAACTGCTAGGGTTTCAGATATGGGCAAATAATGAACCACCAAAGAATAAAAATACATCTTTATAGTAAAAATACCAACAGTATATTTTTTTATAAAATATTATCAATAATACGCACATACGAACAATTTGTAGGAAAATCGTTTGAAATAATTACAACCAACATGAAAGAACTTTTCTGACAATAATCCATTTAATACGCTGCATTTTTCCATCAAACTGCATTCCAAAATATAACTTCCAAAACCTAGGACATAAAACACAC